CCGAAAGTATCCAAAGGATGTACATGTGGGCGTAGTCCTTGCTCCACTCGGAATCGCAAATTGGTCTTTGGGGAGAGAGCTCGGCCGCTGTCGCGCGATGCTTAGCGATCCTTACAAAACCTTTAACGCTTTGACCTCGAGATTTGGCCCCGAGCGAATCTCGGGGAATGGGCACGCGCGCTTATATACTCAGACCCTGACCATCCGGATCCGAGATGCTTCAAAGAACGGCGAGTGGGGGGGGGGGTGATCAGACTTAACCATCTCTAACAAGAACTTCATTATTATAGCGCCAGAATATAGGCGTATTGTTCCTCAAAAGCCGGTATTGCTCACTGACCGAGGATAAAGCGATTCTGACCGAATAACAATTTATCTACTACCTAGTAACTTTTTCTAAACTAGAGAAATTTAATCAAAATGGAGAAGGTCAATTGTACTTATAGACACGTGAAAATAATGAAATACGTAATTGTTTCAAAGATTTCACAATCCTTTAAAGACATACAAACGGTTCCCACGTGATAGATCTAGTCAGTGAACGTTTCATTACGAGAACAACTTTGTCCAACTTCGCTGATCAACGGACGCCCCTTAATCCACCTGGAACCGAGCGTGACTAAGCACCAAGGAATGACGTCGAACCCATTCATAGTGGATCACGGAACGAGCCACCGTTGATACACCACGAACGGCAACGACCAGTCGACTAGCTGGGTATCTCTCACTCGGCGAAGAAAATAAAACGATTCCTCTGAAAAAAGGTACGTGGGCGGTTGCGAGGGCACGGAGGCAGAGATGATACTAGCAGAGGAGACCCCGAATAGGAGGTGGGGTTGAGCGTAGAGGAGCTGAACACCCCAGGGAACCGGCAGCTCGTTACGTGAGACGTGGTACAGCTCTCTTTCTCCCTTCTATTCTCTCTTCCTGGGTTTTCCTTCACCTCCCCATTCTTCGTTTCTCTCCCACCCTTGGCCCCCCTACCCCTACGACTCCCTCAAACCTTGATCCTTTTGCACATCTATCTCCATCCTCTTCTCTCCCCTACACTCAACGCCCCACGTTCTCGAGGCAGCGCCGGTCTGAATAATGTCCCGCGGTATACGCCTCGTCTCTATACGCGCGTATAGCTACTCAGTAACAAGTGGATATTATGTTGACGGTACTGATGCTATTGCTATCTTGGACCGCCGTTCGTCCCGGTTAAGGGGATCCCAGCATTGACGGCGATTACGCTCCTGGCGCTAGACCAGCTCACCCTCGGTCTATTTTTGCACGGTTTTCTAGACACTCTGGTTACGACAATTGCGATAACGTCACATTTGTTTCCAGTAGAAATTTTGTCGTTACGTTCGATCTAAGACCTTAAAAATCCCGTTGATTCAATTTTGTAGTCAACTTCAGGTGGAAATGTACTCTTACAGATTTAGAGAGTATTGAAGGAATATGATTGGTACTTACATTTTTAATGCTGTATGTATAATTACAGAAATGCTATATTTCCTTCCTATAGATATGCCATTTATGACTGAGAACATGATTATAGTACCTTGTCAACCTATGCTGTATCTCTCCAATTGATGTGAAATGACAAAATGCTACCCTTATCCAGCTCTGTACACGATTTCTTTATTCCATTCTCATCCCTGTTTCGCATTCCGTCTGCACGTTTATCCTAATAGACAATGGACCAAAGCAGAAATATGAAGAAAACTGAACGAAGGGTAGGGTCTAGGGGTTCCCAGAGAACTCCGTAACGACTGTCACTACTTTTCCACCATGTCGGAAGCGCATTGCGCCATTTCCGGTGGCCCGGAAGTGCGGTAACAAAGCGCTTCCGGCACGCGGTCTCGAGGAGGTTGTTACGATGGGGCCATAGCGTTGGGACGCTCGGTGACATTTCAATGAACTTTGCGGCATAGTCATTTTCTCCGTAAAGTTCATCGGGACTAACATGTGTTTTGGGGGAGGGTTGACGAACTTTCGACACTACATTTCTGGCTTCGTTGAGGGATTAAAGACGAACGATATTACGGGAAAGTTCAGGGGGACGTCCGCGAATTGGAACATCGTGTCTGCATGAACGTTAGAGTTCTGTTTCGGTGACTCAGCGCCTGTAATATTTCGAACCTTGTCGTGGAAAGGGGACGAACAATATTTCATCTTCTCGTCTTGAAACTTTAGTATTAACAACAAGAGAACCAGAAACACAGAACCGTCTAGTGTTAGACTGATAATGAGTTACGGACATTTCAAAACCAATGAGAGGTAGAAGTTTTAAAAATGTTCCCTGCTGGAAGTAAAGGACTTTAAGACACAGATGAACTTACTTTAAATATGTTTTCGAAATTTGGCTGTAGATTGACAGCAATATCATTTGGGTTCTCGCAGCTAAAAGATTCCTGACGTTCGACATTTTCATTCGTAAAAATATAATCGAATAGAACCGAAATGTTCAATTTACATATATAACAACTTAATACGCTGAAGGGATCAGGTTCATACGGTACGCGTTCAGATTGCACACATAAGATACATTACTCGATTTGCGTCCGTTGCGCCGTATATGGTATTCGACATGGAAATAAAAGGAATTTCCTTAAGAATGGCTATACGATGACATCTATTATAGCGTCGAGTTATCGCGCCTCGGATCGCGCCAGACGTGACGTACACGCGGCTGAGCGGAGTGCCTGGCACCGATCCCGAATTCGAAACGGAACGCGTGCATTCGTATTACTTTTTCGAACGAGCTCCACGGGCCGAACGAAGAGGGACGGCGCAGTACAGAAGAAGTGGGCGAGCAGGGGTGGCCTCGAGGCCAGTGCAGCCACCGCCATTTTATGAAAATTGCACCGCCCGTTCCAGCTGCCCCAAGCGTTCAGGCGAAATATGTTACTTCCATCTCGCGATTAATGGTCGTTATTTTATTTCGAATACGCGCGCCCCGATGCATACCGGGCGAACGCTACGCTGAAAACTGGCTAGAGTAACTTTTCATGGGCCGCGTTCATTTTTCTCGTTTTGTTCGTCTTTTTTTTTTTTGCACAAAAGGGATGATGACCGGGCTATTAAAAATCTTCGAGTACCGAATCGAAATTTTTATTATGTACACGAAATTTATCACGACGTTCCGATGTGACGAATATCGATTTGTAAAACCTGTGTCCGGATATTCGTCTACTCATTGAATGTTTTATGCTATGTATTGTAGGTTAACAGTGAACGTAGCAATGTGGGCATAATGAATTCTGAAATGTATCAATCATTCATACGAATGTTGGTCTGAATTGATATAGTATAAATAAAAGAGTATTCACATGTGTATTGCACAAACGATTGATATATGGATGAGTCACCGACGATAAATAATTTGGGACTTTTGTATACACTGAGCTTGTGATACGTAATATGTACCAGCATAACGATAACCGTTTAGTAAGTTGGCTGCCGTCATGGTGACATTAATCATTAAGATATATGAAAAAAATGTTCAAGTTCTAAAAGTGACGTGAGTAATCTTGAAAATATTCTTAGTATAATAATATTCTAATAACTAAATATTCTTACGCCCTCTTTTTAACGTATAATTTAAATTCACGTGTTCTTTCGTCAATAATACACAAAACTTCTTTTGTTCGTCAGTGGAATTTCGTTTCATACAGAATTATTTTGTCCATCACCAATTTAGAATTACGTTTCACCCGAGAAACACCGAAACTCCCTCAGCGCCGTCATCCTTCAACGAATATTATTACTGCATAATTAATATCAGTCAATCTGTCCTACAATAGACTCGATATCATTATTATTAGTCATCCGTTACCCGTAAATCTGACCCTGTTTTCTCCAAATAACTCACATCCAAAGCCCCTCCCCCTATGAATAATAATCCCGAGCGGACGCGACGAAATTCCGCGTTCGCTCTCCCTCCAATCGAATAATAGCGCAAATTGCCCGGTTAAACTGGACTCTTTCAAACTGAAATAACAAAATTTTCATCGAGGCAATCCCGGTCGATCGGCGCGTTAATGCGGGCAGATTCGTGATTCACCGGCCACACCGTTGAATCGTGATTTAACCGGTCGCGTTATAATTCATACGTTCTTCCTGCTTTTCACGATGGAACGAAATAAAAAAAAAAAGAAAATTGTCGATGGCGTGGCGGCCGTTTCGTAAAAAAGAACAAAAAAAGAAACGTGGAAACGTCGCGAGCGACGCGGAAACGGGCGCGCTGGCGGACACGGTCGAGCGATGAAAAGAGTCGGTGAAACGGTCGGGATCGACAGAGCATCGAGTGGTGGAGAGGAAGGGTGGAGGAGGAGGAGTCGGATGGGGTCCACGGAAGAGGGAAGAAGGGAAAGGGTACAATTAAAATTAGCGCAATTCAGTCACTCGCCGGTAATTCGCGTGCCTGGCATTTATATTATTAAGCCGCGCAAATTTCTCCCGCCTTCCATCCTCACACCGTGCCACCGTTTCCCGCGCGAATACACACGCATACACACGCGACCCCATCCCCGCTCGACCCTTCTTTGACTGTTGCACTCCGTCTCGTTCACCCTTTTCATACGTTTCCATCCTCGTCCCACCGCCCCCCGTGTGCGCCAGGACTTCAGAGTCTCGCGGCGAGAGTTTCGGCCGTTAGTCACGGCCAAGTAGACTAGGAAGAAAATAATTCCGGGTTTTGAAATGAATTACATCTAATTGCTCTTATTACGGGAACGAGAGGGCTTTATTATTCTCCCTTCAACCGCGCTACGCTCTCTCTCTCTCTCTCTACCACGCTTGCTCTGTACCTTTTTCCCTCCACCTCCCCGACCGTTATTCAACTTTTGACGCTCGCGTCTGCCCTTTGGCCACTTCCTGTCCTTAACCGGATTTATTTTCACTCTTATTTTTAAAACCGTCCCGACCTTTCACGGCGAAGGTCGCTTCTGTTGCGGCTTGTCGAATTGTTTAAGTTGATTCGGTGCTTTAATTGAATGGGTTTTGCTTACCTTTGGGTGTGTTCTCCTAGGAAACGCTACCTTCGGGTCGATCTGTAACAGATAGAAAGATGGAACCATGAATGGTCTGCGTAGACGTAAAATATGTTATTTAACACGTTCTGCGCCACACGTACCACCGGTGGTACACGCGGCCTGAATGGAAAGTTTAACGTGTATCATCGGTAGTACTTGTGGCGCGGAACGAGTGAATGTCGAACTGTAATTTAAAACAAGCCTCTATTAACAAAAAACACACATTTTCGGTTATTTGTGACTTGAAGAACGAAATAAAGAATGTCTGGTTACATATGGCCTTTTTCACTGTGGCACGGACCGTGTTAATCGTTTCAGAAAGGGAGCTAGTAGTATTGTACAGTATTTAGTCAGACAATTTTAAGTTATGTGTAGGAATAGTAAGGGGAATGATACAGTATACAATCGGACATAGAAATACAACTAAACAGACGATGCCGAATGGTTTAGTAAATAATAAAGTTTAGAGAAAGATTTAAAAAAAGAAACAATACACACATCAAGTCGATCTTCATTTACATTATAGTGCATATTCACCAATCACAGAGCACACATTCATCCATCACCGAGAATACACTCAGAAATCACACAGAAAACAACTAGTACACACTCGCACAGCTCACTGTTGTATACTGGGTGGTCCATTTAAATAAGGTCCTCCGAATATTTCTTCCAATCATTGTGGTACCAAAAATATTTTCTATAGAACTTGTATAGTATGAAGAAACTAATACGTTGAAGAACTTCTATTCACGGTCACTTCTTCAAAACTTTCAATCACATCGATGTTTTTTTAAAAGTTTATTTGACTTCTTAAGTTTCTGTTCACTCATTCAAAAATCACATCAACCTCGAACGAGCTCCGTGAAATTAATTTATCAAGAAGCAATGGCAATCGCGAATTCGTCGTAAACACAAACAGTGATATATTTTTCACTTCGCAGTATAATTAATTATCGAGCAAGAAAGGTTAGTCGTTCGAGAAGTCTGAATACAATGGGGATCCGTGGCATCGATGCCGGTCGGCTACCCGAACTCTCAGCCAGCGCGCCTTCAATACGTTCCCTAGGCGTGCCCGTAGGGACAAGAGCAACCAGGTCGGACGTAACCGCAGCTTACGCCCTACGTGGGTTAAAAAGCAAAAATCCATCCCCCTCCCGTGGCGTTGGGGGGCGGGGGATGGAACACCAGCGAAGCCATGGAATTCCCAGCGCAGCCGCGACGTAAATTTTCGGCGGGAAATCGAGCCGCTCGAATGTTCGTTCCAGGCTTCCCTCGTGACCTTACCACGAACTTACGTGCGTGAAGCTACGCGGAAACGTACGTGACCGCAGAGGCGTCGTTCCCGACGAGCAGCCAGCCATTCGAGAAGTTTCGACTTCGTGTGCTTTCCAGAGCGAAATCTTCGCGAACTGTGTGGGGAGCCACATCAGACCAACTTGCATATTTTTGGGTGCGTGCGATACGAGCGACCTGATAGCTGGGGAAACGCTCGGAATAGCAATTGAACAGGATTCGTAGTTTGAAAGAGACTAGACTGCGAATAATTTAAGAATCGACGTTTCAAAGTTGTGCACTTGGAAATTGCTGTTGGAATAGTATAATATGTTTTGTTTCTGAATTTTGTGGGAAGATTACGGATACAATTTCTGTTTAGAAGTAGTCTAAAATGTAAAATTATCATTGGTTATATACAATAAGAGGCAAATACGTCCCGAAGGAATACATTATGCATTTAATTTCCGAACAATCGTTAAGGCTGCTGATACGGCGACTTTTTATCGAGGCCGAGTTTCTCGTCGCATTTCTGAAGTGGGTCAGTTTTCTTGTTTTTATCGCCCGACTCAAGACGCGGAGCTGGGAGATTTTTTATCACGGCAACTTCGACCGAACTATTTTTCTCGATCACTGCCGACACTGGAAATATTTGTTTTATTTGTTGGCGTCTCAAAGTTCCAGCAGGAGATGCCATCAATTTTCACATTTAAAAAGTTTCCCATTTTAACTTCATTCCATAACAGATGTCCCAAATCAACGTGTAGTAATAATTCACAAGGAAAAAACACGTAACTTCAGTATGTTTATTTCTTTGCGTATAAATTGCAACGTTGTATACCTTACCGAATAATTAACGCTGTCAAACGAATTAATCGTATAAAATATAAGTTAGAAAAATTTGTTATGAAACAGATTCCATTATTCTTCTAGAAAGTATTTTCTTACAGAATTTACTGACAAATTAATTTAAAAAAGTGTCGACTTATTATTTTGTTTCAATCATTTTTTCAAGTGTTTCAATGTATCCACAGCATTTCCGCTAATAAAACCGGACGATCTGCTGGATGATTTATGATCGTTTCCGTGTCATATTCTCCTAAGCATTGATCACGATCAATTACCTTCAAAATTCGCTCACTCTATATGTGTTACCCCCGAAATCTATTGAATTCGTTTCGAGGGCAGCTACTTTACTGCTAAATAATCAGCGGTTTTCATTGCAAATCCTTTGAAACGCCTGTCGACGTTCCGGTGCAACGTCCTAATTAAGATGAATGTGTTCTAGATAATCCGCGCCGTTAAAAGACGCTTCATCTTTCATGCTCTGCTTTGATAAATGAAATGTACAGGCACAGCTGCGAGCAGCGGCGTTTCGTGTACGACTAGAAGGAATATTTCATTTGACATACACATCCGACAGTTCTTGCTGAAACGGATGATATCTTTTACTTGAAAGTATCTTTAATTCATTCTTCGAGATAAGGGAAACCGCGCTTTCTCATTTTATTAAATTTAAATGGATTGCTACTGTACACGGGGAGTTGATAAACCATACATTTCTTACGTAGATTGTAGAATAAAGTGGTATGGATCAGTATATGGTCAGCCAACTTAGTGTATTATTTAATCTACCGTTTATTCCTACGTTTGTAGTAGTGGAAACGTGAATTGTACAATATCTTTTAACTCTAGTTAGGTCTTTATCACCCATTATGTGTAAAGAATCATTTCTTAATCCGTTGCCAATTGTAAATAAATAACTACAATACGAAGAATAACTAGTATCGTATATTTAAAAACTATAGGACCTTCTCCTTCTACCTAGATATTGTTACAAAATATTATTGACCAATTTGGCTAACTACAATTAAATCTAAACTTTCCTGCAGACTTTAGACGATAAGAAATCAGTTATATACACTTAAAGAACAAGAACGAACACTATCCCGCATTCCAAAGAATGAAAAAAAAAAACTGCACTTGACCTACTTCACGTCACAAAATTAATTCCTAAAGTGGCATAGCAATCGAACGCAACAGTCACACGTCTTCCCAGATAGCACATGACGCCGTGAAGACGTTCATATTACGGCTGTTTTAGGTCTAAGACGCCTTTAAGCCGTCTTCAAGGTGTCATTGGGCGTCATGTGCTATCTGAGTTTCGACGGTCGCGCGTGAGACCAAGACCTGAACATTTTCTCCGGCGAATCTCGAGGCAAACTGGTGTTTACAAGAAACAAACCTTCAAAGACGATTCCTCGATAGGGAAGACGTGACATTCCCGAACCGGAGCTTCTTCGTGAACGGCGGCGGCGTGGCGGTTCCGCGACGGAGTCAAAAAGAGAACGTAGCCCGAGGGGTTAGCGGAAGCCGCGGACGTGGTAATGACAAGCAAGAAAACCCGCCTCTATCCACCGCCGCCGACGCCATTCGCACAAACGAACGCCGACTACGTTCCTCTCTCTCCCTACTGTGCTTCCTCCCTTTCCTGTTCTCCGGTTCCCGCGAACCAACCCACCTTTGCATAATCCCCTACGGCAAAGTTCACACCGGTCGCTCGCACGCCCCCGGACGCCCCGGAGCACGTCAAGAGACCCAACGTCGACGGGTACAACGAAGAGGGTGGAGAAAAAGTCTTTCGGTTTTCGTCTTCTCGCGCCGACACCGTGATTCTTCTACTCTTTACCTCTACTGTCGTCCGCTAACCACGCCGTTAAGTAACGAGAGGAAGAAACAGCCGTGGAAAGAGGAAGGAGTGTCGAAAGAGGAAGAAGTAGTGTTGAAAGAGGTACAAGCAGCGTTGAAAGAGTTATTTTTACATTCAATATGTCGCAAAGAGACTCACTTACGACATCAAACGTTCGTAAGTATGGAAATTAATTTTATACCGGAAGGATCGATTTTACGACCCATGTGGAGTAAACATTTTTTACACCACTCGGTAAGTACTATAAATCTCTAAAGTCTTAGAACTTTTTTTGAACAAACCGTACACTCTTCTCCTCTTGCAAACATTTCTTCTTCAAATTAGATATTTAATATTAACATATACAATCAATCGATACGAATTTTCTCTATTACGTTTATCTTTTCACCTTCTTCGGACCACCATCGTAACTACCGCGAAAAATTTCCCTACCCTCTATATAAAGGTTAACCGTGACGAATCGGCAATACAATAACAGTCGGAGCCAGTCAGAAAAATATATAGTATTATTACCACCCAGCGATACAAGAAACAGAATCATAGCCAACAATCATCACGTGCAATTGTCGGTGGATGATACGATCCGTGATCGAGAGGAATTTGTCAGCGTAGAGTGAATCGTGCTCGACGAATCGATCAGCGAGATTAGTTTCGACGGTCCGGTTATTCGATTCATTCCGTTCAGTTCCGGGCCTGGAGTATCGCGCCAACGAAAGAGAACAGAGGATAAAGACGCGAGGCGGGGACAGGAGGGATAGAGACAAAGTCGGTGAAGAGCCGCGGGAGATAGGAAAGTCGAGAGATCGGCGAGGATGGCATTACAAGAGAAGAATCGAGAGGCTCGAAGCGATTTTCACAAACATAACCCAGTTACACGATATCGCGCGAAATGATCGGCCGCCAACCATCCTCGTCGACGACTACGGGCGACGAAGACGACGACGATAGAAATTCAATCTGGTCCGCACGCCTTCGAAATTGGAAGAGTCACCTATCCGACCGGCTGATTCGAGGAGCTGCCGCGGAGGAAAAC